TTAAATTCAAAGAATTGGAGAGGAAAAAAGCTTAATTTTATTATACAAAATCATCCCTATTTACAGATCTATACAAGATGTCTTAATAAAGAAACAAATAACTATAGAATCATGCATAATTACCATAACATAATCCTTCCTAAATCAGCCACCCAAATATATAAGGAGATCGGTGTGATCCAAGTGAGCCTCCCATGGATCCCCATGTTGTTCGTGGATAAGGGTCAAGGGACGCCTGGGATTTAACACTCCCACTCAAACTGGAAAATACATATCTGTCATTCTCAACTTGGTAATCAGTCCCAAAAGGTAGAGTCATCAAGCCTCATGGTAAGAATGTATGCATCATCGATTTCATCATTTTCCTACGCCCAATGCATCTAGGTTTCACCTTCAGTAAACTCACGTTGTTCTTTCTTTAGGAGAAGCACCTCTACATCAACATCATACAAAATTTTATGCATTCTTATACTTTGATCAAAAGAATCAACAATGCCATCATAAAACCTCTGATCATCTCGCCACCATTTTTTTATCTTTGAACAAGCAATTGTGTCATTCAAGCCTTTTCTACGCTTCTGTGGTCCAGAAGCCTCTTGTAAGCCCTGAGCACGCTTGCATCTTGATTTTGTTTTACCAATATCTTTAATATGATTCTGATCTTTAACCAAATCTTTCATTGTAAACTTCTGAGTGGAGAGATGATGAGGACATCAGATGTGTCAATCAGAGGAGGCATCGTAGATCGACGGTTACAAATAAGAGTTTTTATTTGTGATGCATTTTATGTATTTCTTTTATTTATATTCTAGTTTTTACCATTGTACCCCTAAGAGGGATTAGTTCGTATTGTAGCCTAGAGGGCAATTTAGTCTGTGTTTTTTGTTCCTTGAGGCCTATATATGAAGGCCCTAGCTTTTGTATTCGGATGATGATGATTTTGAATGAAAATTTCATCACATGTTCCTTTTCTTTGTTGTCAGCTCTTGAGAGAGAAGAGAACCCTAAGAGAGGACCAAGAAATTCCCATCAGCCGGCGGTAGAGTCTGGGCTCGCGGTTTGTATCCGTTTTTGTTCCTCATTTCCTCTTCCTCTTCCCCATACCGCCGGCTACCTACCTCATCCTCCCAAATTCCGGCCAAACCCTTTCCCTCCACCCACACCTACCGACTAAGCCCCTTCCCCATCCCAAACCGCTGGCCAACCTTCACCAAATCCCCACCACCGGCCAAGCCCCTTTCCCCCCACCTAACCACCGGCCCAATCCCCTCCCCCTTCCCCTACCCGCCGACCTAGAAACCCTAGCGTTGCTGCCGACCACCCTACTAATCCTCCAAGGCTCTAATTTCCAATCATCCACTTATTACTTTCCTAATTTAGTTCAAAGCAATTTGGGAATTTCAAATTAATTTGATATTTGAATTTCCCTCATTAATTTGAATTAATTACAAAAACTCCCTCCAATCTTTTAATTTTGAATTTTAAATTTTAAAAGGTCATTAATTCCTTTCTTTATTTAGGATTCTAATTAAAGGAGCAAATCAAGTCCACCCAATCGCACCCAATTAATAGACCGGCCCACCGCTCTTCCCCTCTCTCCCCTTATCTCCACTTTATAAATTAAACCCAATCAAATCCCCCAATCAATTAGCCGCTCCCTCCCTCTCTCCCCCCATTTTATTCCTCTCCCTAATTAAGCCCCAATCCCCTTCTCTCCACAAGTTTCCAGCCATCTAGGGCTTTCGAAGGTTGGAGAACTTTCTCCCTCAATGGATGACGATCCCGAGCATGATCATAGATTCATTTTCAACAATCAGGGACTAGTGGAAGTTTTTCGTTCCCCCTTCTTCGACATCAATTGGGAGATTGACCAATCCGCCGAATAATACGTCAACCGGATCTTCTTCTCATTGACTACTGCTCTCGATGAACATCGGCGTCCCATCTAGTGGCAAATCCTCCATCATCCACCGACCCCTCTTTCCCGGTTAACTTTTCCTTGGACAAAATTGTAAGCTCCTTATGTATTTTGGTAGCATCATTATTGTTGTGCAAATTATTCTTCTGCTAAAGCTCTCAAGAGTGTGAGTGAGGAAAACTCAATGTGATTGCTCTAATTGTTAACATGTGGATTTTTGTTAATTGCACATCTGGCTTTTACTGTAATTTTGATGTTATTTTAATTGCCCTTCTAATCTATTTTGTAACCGCATGCCAAAGCAAAACAACAACTAAGAAATCCTATAATCTAATCTTGTGAAACATTAATTTTAAAATTGGCAAGCTTAACAAATTTTATTAAATTCATGCAATACCTTTTTGTTTCACATGAAGAGAACTTCCTTTAATTTCAATTCTTTGTCTTCAGCCTCAGCATGCTTAAATCCTTTCTGCTTATTAGTGCCAGCAGTTTGCTTATTTTTCGAGAATCTCACTCTAACTTTTCTTTGAGATCCATTTATACCTCTATTACTTGGAAGGTTTTTGTCAGAATTACTCCGAGCTTTTTTTCTTATTATCAACTCCATAATGGTCATGGCTAATTGACAACTGTAATGAAATATTTCTTCCTCCTTTACGAGAACTTAGATCTGATATCCTATCAGGCTTTGTTGTACTTGAATCCAAACTATGTTTAGCATTAACTCTAGATTTACCACTATGACAATGAAATTTAGTTGTTTGCTTTGCAGTCATGGAATCATCATTCACATTCTGAAAAGATCCATTATTAATTATTGGTTTGGAAGATCCGTCTGCAGCAGCAACAAATTTTTCAGAACGAAAAGTTTCACCTTCCTGTTGTGCAGATCCCTGAGGCGAGTCGTCAGAAAGCAACTGCTTAGATAATTTATGGTCAACTTCCTGATTTTCACTAGAAGCATTCATTTCCTTCTGTATCGAAGTTTCAGGTTTCCCTTGAAATATAGCAACAATAATATTATTCTAATCACTTAATAGTAATAGAGCGTCATTGCCATTAAATAATTTAGCCAAATAAGATGTTAGCTTCAAGGAACATTTAAAAAGCACTTTCTTAGTTGGCTTCTTGGTTGTGTGGAGAATATTCTATCAATAACTTTCACACCATCCAACAGACATGAAAGAAGCTATACAAAAATACTTCAAGTCTCCTCCAAAACAAGTGTCATGATAGTCTCTATTTTGGAGAAGATAGTATCATAATGCTTTGATCTTATTGTCTTCAGGAAATGCTGAAATATTTCCTATACCAAATCATCACAATCAAGATCTAACATCAAAACATAGGATCAAACATTTGCAACAGCTTCAAGTATTGAAACTCTCTTCGGAAATGAACAGCTTGACATCTTATCCAAATTATTGAAAACACCAACAATTAGCCCAAGTATCTCATTCATTATATCATCATCATATAGAGCATATAATGTCGTTATTCTAGTTATTTCACTAAGACAATATGCAATGGAAACCTTCACATCCAAGTTTGAGTGCTCTAGAAGATTCTTGGCAATCAATGCCTCCGCTTTATCAAGGAGTAGCAGAAGCTGTTGTAAATCGGATGGAAGAGACACCAATTTATTCTTGATTTCTTTGACCCCATCCTCCAGCATTAAATCATCAGGGGACATTTATATATATGTGCACTAGAGAGGCCGCAAGTATGGCAATAAGGATTCCAAGCTCTCGGTCCCTTACAGGCGCGCACAAGACCACTGATCCAAGTGTTCAACTCTTCCTAGGCAGACACTCAGAAAAACCCCTGCATGACTCGTCCGAGTGCTCAGTTCTGCTTCTATGTAGGTAAGAACACACACACAAAAGCTTGAACTCCTTTGCACGTATGAGGGTTTCTACTTGCTCCTCTTCGCTCGGCTTCCAAGAAGAGATTCACGAAGTAGATGACCAAGAGGAACGCCTCTCCTCTCTTAATTGCACGCAGTGACGATGCTGTCATTCCCAGGAGGTCCTTACCACTGTCTAGACACACGTAGAAGGAGCCCTCCCACTCGATCTCTCCTCGATCCTGGACGCACGAGAGAGTCCTATCTCTGCTTCTTCTGGCCGCAAGCACGAAACATAGGGCACGAGCGATTTGAACCGCTTGACTCTCGTTCAATCTCCAACGACAATGAAGGCCTCTTGCTCCTCTCCGCTTCCTTCAATTCGTATATCCTAGTGATTCCGGCAACGAAGGCCGGTGGAATGACTAGTATTCCTCAGAATTTCGGCCATGAAGGTCGGTGGTTGGAATTTGGCTCTGATATCATGTTAAATATTGAGAATTTTGGAGGAAAAAAGATTAATTTTATTATACAAAATTATACATATTTATAGATCTTTACGAGATATCTTAATAAAGAAACAAATAACTACATAATCATGCATAATTTTCTAAATATAATCATTCCTAAATAAGCCACCCAAATATAAAAGGAGACCGGTGTGATCCAGGAGAGCCTCCCAAGGATCCCCATGTTGGTCGTGGGATAAAGTGCCAAGGGACGACTGGTATTTAACATTCTTTAATGACAACAGACGCATTTGCCACAAAAAAATGTTAGGACAAATCTAATAAGAACAAATTATTGCATTTTCGAACGATGCATGTGGGTGCATAAGGTAACTATCATGTTTTCATAAGCCAATAATTTTGGCTATTTATATGACCAAATAGAATAGTATTTATATGCTTGTTTTAAAAAAATGAGAAAACAAAATAGCCATCAATCATGTAACAAGAAAAAAACTGAATAGTATCCATTCATAAGTGAACATCAAACTTCATAAATCAAGTCGATTATCAATAATGGTTTGATCAAGAGTTCTAGTTATGATAAATTGAATCAATTTCTAAGAGAAGCATAACTGTAAGGAGTCAAGATGTAAAAGAGTAAACATTATTAACAATCATGAAGCATGGTGATCATTTAGTGAGAAAAGTTCCAATGCTATTCATATTAAGTTTCACAGAAAGCTCTTCTATTGAACATCCCATGAGATAGTATTGCTAAGCTACATAACGTAAAAATATATATTAGCAATATATATTAGCCAAAAGAAGAAAACGGTATTTGAATTATTCAGGCCAATAAAGATTAACTTTACCAATTCTCAGCCATCGAGCTGCCCAACTTCTAGTGGGATCCATAACCGAAATTATCCTGCAAACAGATAAATGATCTCTTAACATGGAAGAAACATAGCATTTAAGCAGACAAGAACATGAAAAATTATAAACTGCAGCTTAAAGAATGGATACTATGTGTCCACTACCAAAAAAGAAGAGAAAAGAGTGTTTTATTTTCAGGAATCTCTTACATTAGAGGCTAACGCTAGCGTTACCTACATCAAGCCCAAACTGAAGCCTAAATAAGACCCAATTCAAGCACGAATGATATGTTATGTTAATGAAGCAAGAGGTGGTAGAGTATAAGATTCAAAATAAAATTAGCAAAACCTAATTTCCTAAAGAAGATGGGCCGGGAACATAAGACTTGAATGGATCAAACCCAAGCTGCTGAAATCAAGCAATGAGGGATGAATTTATACCACCCTTCAAGGGAAAGGTTTTTGAATTAAAATTTTCATTAATTATAATTAATCCAGTTAGAATTATTTTCGTTATTTGATTGGTTATCAAATAAATGTAATAAGCTATCAATATAATATAAACATTTTACTCACTGGCTTATAACTCTTTTCACTTTTGCTCTTCATGTTTTTTGTATAAATATACTTATATCTATTTTTTTAATTTAATGTTTATTGAACCATTGGAAACCATCTCTATCAATATCATCTCACCTGATGGCTTAAGTTTCTATCTTCTAATTTTACAATTTTCAAGAGGGAGGAGCACATCCATAGGCAAATCTTGACTCCATGTATTCTCATACTTTCAAATTAAAGGCTTGGCCATCACTCATCCAGCACATAGAAGAAGCAAGGGAAAACACCAAGGTTTCATAACTAGGATTGATGGAATCATCTTGCATGGTAAACTTATCCATGGATCTTTAAATAATTACCATTGACCTTGCATTAAAATTGATAAAGTTTAATATTGCGTGATTATGTAAACTCTAATCATTTTGCATCCATGAACCCTTCTAACTTGATGAAAACCTTAAAAATACTAATTTCTTAAAGAAAAAAAAAAAAACATAGAACAAGAAGTGAAAGTGATTGAAGTTTTCCATATCAGTATGCCTTGTTTATCAATCGGAGGTAGGCCTAACAAAGAGCTTTAGAACTTGTCTACTTTCCTTTCTAGTCTCTGTTATCCCTAGCACCTTAATTGCAAGAATACCAAATCTTAGCATGAGATGAGGTGCCAGAAAATATCAAATCTTCGTAATGATAGAATGCTCTATGATTAGGTGATTTTCAAAGCAAGGCGAGGGATATGTCCCTAAAAGGGGTACATGCATGCATGCCATGCTAAATTCATTTCTATTATCATATGCATTTCTTGTTGCCAATTATGGAAATCTTATGAATATTGAATAAGTTGGATGCTATTAGTCACTTTGGAACTTGCTTGCATCAACCGAAGGCATGTTTTTCAATAGGTACTAGGATTGGAGCTTGGATATGATTCATTCCCTTATTTATGTTACTGATAGGAAATACTTGCGTTCGCAAGTAACCCTAAGGTAATACTTGAGTTCGCAAGCAACCCTAACCCAAATCGGAGATCAAACAGCGAAAATATTGATGTCCAGATGATGTAAGACAAACATGCGAAGAGTTGATTTGGAATTTTAACAAATAAGATTGAATTAGTACATTGCTAATTAGTAACTCATGCTTCAATCAAGTTAAATTCTTAGAACTTTCTGTTGGAAGATTAAGTAATAGAGGACGAGGAACACATTTAACTATTCTAGTGCCTATTGCTGAAAGTTAACTTACCGTGGTAGGTTGCCCAACAAAATTGTTTCAACGGTTATTAACTTTCAAGAAAATAAAAATCTCTGTGAGTGCTTATAAAATATCAAGAGGGCTTGAAAAATATCAAAACTCTCAATAAACGAATAGACCTTAAATTTAAAAACAAGATTTAGCCAAAATTTTATTAAACCAATTAGTGATTTCTTACAGCCATAAATCAAGTGCTCAAAAAGCCATAATGGTAACTGGTAAGTTTGCCATACCTTTGTAATTCTACAAGACAAAGGCAATGGAGACCTCATATAATTGTCACTAAGGCATCATTTCGTAATATTGTGATATTGTTGTGTTGATTGGTATAAAATAAAGCCAATCAATACTATCACATAGCAAAAACTAGTGCTCTCCTTTGTAAGTTTTCAGCGCAAATCAAAATTTGTATATGCCAAACTTTTTAAAAGCAAAACAGCTTAAAAGAATTACTAAACAACCACTAAGTTAATAAGAGAAATGATTTTTCTCCAACAGAATCAAAAAGTAAACTACAAGAAACACCAAAAATGATTTAGCATTTTGATATTAAATAAGCAGATGAGATGTAGGGATGATTTTTCATTCAGTAACTTGCAGCTATAGTTTTACTGGAGTGGGTGATGCACAGATAGGGTAACCGGTGTAAGAGAATGGTGGTTTAACCTACCCGGTAAAATTTGGGGTGGTGCAGTTCACCACATTATCATGCTCCTTATCCATCTCTAAGAAAGGGCAGTTTTCACAGCCCGACTCCCTAAACTGTGACATGGCAATAGAGACATTAAAAGCTGCCAAAACAAAGAAAAGCAAAAGACTTTACTAGAAAATAAGCATGCCTAGATGCACCAAATGCAGCCAAAGGGAAGGGAACAATGATGTAAAGAAAGTTCATTAGGCCATCAAGTAGCACAAAAAAGAAGTAATTAGCAACAATAAAAAAAAACATAACATAACTCTTTCCAAATAAGTTACATTACAGCTGCGATCAAACTGTTGCCAACAACTGTAACTTGTAAGTGCGGAATTTTGCAAGGAGCAAGTAAGCAACCACGAATCAAAAAACGTATAGGGCTCAGAAACCCTAAAAGAGTAGGTAAACTCCGAAACCCTAACTGGTGGGACGAAGGGCCAATGAACGAAAGAAAGGGAGTAATGGCACCTGGTCGTAGGTCTTGACAAGTCGGCAGCGGAGGCAAGCCCTAAGCTCGTGGCCAAAGCTTGTCGGGATCTGAGCGAAGCTGGCCCCCCGCTCCTCATCCGGCAAGTAGTCGCTTCTCTTCCCGCTGCCCATTTCCTCCCTCTCGCTCTTAACTGTGAACTGTAACAGAGAGGATGGTTAGAAAAAAGGGTTCCGTCCGCTCCGGTATTTAAACATCTCACACTTAAAATATTAATATTATATATATATTATCTACATACAACTTTAATATCAAATATAACACCCCTATATTTCATTCATAACACTCATACCACCTTATAAACTTTAATATTTCATTCAATACACTCATATTTATTTTATGTTTGGTATGTATATAATATTAATATTTTGAATATTACAAATATAAATATCATGAAATAAAATGATATGTATGTAAATTTCCTTTAATATTTTGAATATTACCCTAAACCCTAAACCCTAAACCCTATAATATATCTCTATATTTATCAATAACTTTTTTTAAAAAATATTTTATTTAACTTTTACTTTTAACATTCCTCAAATATGTATTTATTATTATCAAAATAAGTGTCATGCAGTTGATCTACGAAAGAATCGAACTTGCAAGAATGAATTCCTAATCTATGGATAAACACAAATCTCCAAGGCTTAAAGCATAATTATATTCATCCATATGCCTCCTTCCTCTTACATATTACACACATATAATACTCAAATAGAGAAAACCTAGAGAATTCTAGAAGATTCTAGAAAACTTATAACAAACTAAATAAAATAACCTAAGAAACAATTTAAGCAAAATGCTCCACATCAACGTGTACATGCATTTTTCAAATATAAAATTATGTCATGATAGACGATAATTCATGATGAGAAAAAGCATAATTTTAGTCTTCACTTAATTTTCTATTTTCTTATAATTTACTAAATGATTGAAGTATTATTTAGACTTTTTGGTGTAAATATTCAAAATTTATTCTTAAAAGAAGACCAAAATAAACTATATGCCCTCAAAAGTTTAGAACAATGAGAGAAAATTGAAATAAATACAAAATTTGGATTGCAAATCATAATAAAACAATGGTGGGGTGTGGATTTATAGTAGTTATGAAGAATTGAATCCACTTGTGGAGTAGCCAAGAATAACTATTTATTATCATAGAGAAAATTTGACTATTTGAGTACACATACCAAGCTTTTAAGATGAAAATATGCTTTCTCAATAAGATTAGTTGAGGGAAAAATAAGAGGAAAAAATTTTACATTTAGAACATGTTACACTTGAGAAGAAAGTCCATAAAAATATACTACAAATATATTGGAAGATAAGGAGAAAAATAATAATGATATCCAAAGCCATGAGATAGCTTTGAAGCTATTTGATTGTTGCGACCAACCTCGAGTGTCTTTGTAAATGATATATTATTAGTATTTATATTCTTGATACATCATATAGTGGGCAAAGTCATGATGATTGCATATGGGCAAGATGGTAGTAGTTGTTATTTCTCAGAAGCTTTAAAGATGGACAAAATGGGCTTGATGTGTAGCAATATAGGGAACAATACTAATGATAGGATCATTTAATAGTGTGTTGAAATCTCAAGTGACACAACTGAGCCTTGAATTTTGAAGTTCATTAAAGGGAATTATCAATTAATCAGTGAATGTTGTAGAAGCCAAAGGGACGATAGAGATTGTGTCTTTAGATGACATATTCCATGTGGTAGATAATAAAAAAATTTGGGCAAGAAATGAATAATTAACAACTAAATGGGTGCCTAAGTGCTTTCCCTTTTGGGAGTGGAATCAGTCACAATATATGAGCACGTAGGAGTAATTAGGGGCGATCACCACCCTTAAGGACAATTATCACCCACAAAGGGTTGATTTGTTTGGTGTTGTGTCAATGTTGGTAGGAATTTGCACTTCAAAATGATCGTACACAGGGGTGTCAATTTCGGGTCACGGGTCGGGTTCGGGTTGAACCCGAAACTGACCCGGCACTATTCGGGTCAACCCGAACCCGACCCGTTTTTAAAAACGGGTCGGTTTCCTTGACCCGAACCCGACCCGCTTCGGGTCCGGGTCAACCCGACCCGACCCGAATGACCCGTTTTCAACCAAAAAATTGCTAATTTTCGGGTCAAAAATGGGTCAATCTCCTCTTTTCGGGTCAAAACCGGGTCAAAGTCGGGTCAATCTCGGGTTGGCGGGTCAAAATCGGGTTTTCGGGTCAAAATCGGGTCACTTTCGGGTCAATTTCGGGTCAAAGGGTTAACCCGAACCCGACCCGATTTTTGAAACGGGTCGAAATGTTTAACCCGAACCCGACCCGTTTCGGGTTCGGGTTGACCCTAACCCGAAATTTTCAGGTCGGGTTCGGGTCGGGTTTTCGTGTCGTGTCAAATATTGACACCCCTAATCGTACATGATTGGGGAGAGAGAAAATGACCAAATTTCAATTCAAATAAAGAAAGAAATGAAAAGACTAGCAATGTAGATGGGATGATGAATAGCTGGAGAAGAGAACCTCCTATTTTCCCTTAGCTTGTTCTACTAATCAATTTGTCTAGTCAGTCCATCATGTCAAATATGCTTTACATGTGTAAATTATATGCCAATGTATAATATAACTTTTTCCTCACTGAATATATAAGCTTTCGTGCCAAATAACATATGACTCAATCTTCATGTAGTTCATTTTGTGTCTCCAATTTTTTTATCTTTCAATAAAATATTCTCGCATGCGATGAACTTATAATGGAATCTCCCATGTAGAGCATGATATAACAGGTAGGACGAAAGCCTAATTTCAATATAATTTACCATTACTAAGTGGTAAATACTCATCTGAAAACTGTCTCACTCCCTACATGTTATTAAGCCTATAAGACCTACCATCTTTGTTCCTAACTAGTTACTGGCCCATGATAGCTTATTTTATATTCAATTGAGCTCTTTTATTTCTATTAAATTCTCTTAACATTAGTTGTCACAATTCTCCTTCGACATGCTAAAAGGGGGGTGTCATCCCCCTTTCTTAGGGCCTTTTACTATCAACTCAATAGAAATTGAATTGGCTTTGAAATCAAACAAGTCTCAACCTACATTATTGGCCATGTACTAGTATCAACCCCATCATTCGCCTCTTTTTCAGATAGATTTGTCCTTAAATCACCATATGCATAAAGAGGATTTAAAAAGAAAAAAATAATTGAAGTACTAATACCATACTCATTTAGCAAATCCAACTTATAGGATATATCATGTATCCTTTCAAGAATTTTAAAAAAATAAAAATATTTCCCCTTAGTAGTAGCTTGGAATGTCATTATTCAAGAAATCACCCATTTCCAATGAGCTGCTAAACCAGCTTATGTCACTTTTTATTTACTTTTTTGCAAATAGCTCTTTTCTCCTTTATACATTGAATTTTACTTTCTTATGAATTTATATAAGAAAATCAAACTTTTTGTTTTCATGTTTGAAAATTAATTTACCACCACAAAAGTGCATTTATTTTTTTCTCAATATTACTTAGAAAATCCTACCACAAAATACATTTAATGTTCACTGGTAATTGGTAAAAGGTATGTAATCATGGGGTTATAATGAAGATGTAACTTGCTAGCAAATGAAATATATATCATAAACTCTCTCAACATCTCTTTCATGTGTGGCTAATTAAAATATTATCATAAAATTACATAAGTTTAGTGATTCCAAATTGTCTCATCAATCCCTCACTACGAGATTCTCTCACAAACACATATATCATAAAATAATTTGGTAGGCACAATAAATTTATCCTAAATAAGAAATCCATGACATTTATAATATATTTACAATTAGTTTTTTATAGGTCTGATATTAATCACAAAAATCTTGATCATCCTTATATAATTTTTTAATATGTTCAAAATCAAGTAATTTAGAATCAATAGATGAGTATGCATATGGGATGGTGTAACAACAACATTTTCTTTGTTTTGTTTGTACCTGATAATGTATGGAAATATTTATATGAAATCCAGTACCCATCAAGCATGTGAAACCCTTAAGTAATAGAAACAAAATTCTTAAATATTAAGGCGTCTTTTAGTGTAATGATCAAAATTTTATTTTAAAAACTCTACAGTTAAGCGTGCTCATCTCGAAAAAAAAAATAGGATGAGTGACCTCACGAGAAGTTACATCAACATGATAAAATCATGAGGCCCTTAGGATAAAGTAGACAATATCTCAATTGTTAAGCGTTTGAGCTGTTATAAATGGTATCAAAGCAATATAACAGTTGGAAGATGGAAACTAAGTGTCATACAAGACAAAATGTTACACCATGGGAGCTACCTCTTGAATCTTGTATAGGACAAAGTGCTACATGGCAGACGCCACCACTTGAACTTGTAGGAGCCACCTCTAGAATCTTATATGCCAAGTGGATGATAAGGATATTAACAAGGGTGTTAGCTACTTAAGTGGGGAAGGTTGTGAAACCCCTTAAATAAAATAAAGAAGAAGCTAAACTCTTAAACATCAAGGCATCTTTTAGTGTAATGGTCAGAATTTCATTTAAGAAACTCTACAACTAAGTGTACCCATTCCAGAGAAATTCTAGAATTGGTGACCTTCTCTAGAATATCTCGATAGTTAAGAATTTCGGCTGTTACGATGCAAACCTTTTGTTCAACTTGTGTTGCTTTATCAAGTGCTTCAAGGATTCTTAATCAATGTGAATCAAGAACTATTTGAGCCACAAGTCATGTTGTTATGTCTCCAAAACTTGTACTAAGCCATACTTTTATCATAATTATGATAATTTAAAATAACCCTTTTTAAATTTTCACTAAAGTATGCAATTGGTTGTCACTTCTGCACAAGAGTGTTGCTTATTCATAAACCTGAAGCATCACACTCGATCTTAACAGTTTTTGAAAAGTTAGACAAAGATAATATATGTGTGTTAGATTATTTTTTTCTTTAATTATTTAAAACATGTTATGTTTTTCATCTCACCATTTAAATCCATCTTACCTTTTGATAAATTTGTTTAGTGGCATAACATTGCCACTAAAATCTGTCATAAATCATTGATAGAAGCTAGCAAGTCTATGAAAGTTACAAACATTACCATTTTAGTGGGGCTCAACTAATCACACATGACATATATTTTCTTCTTCAACCTGTATACCTTGTGAACTAATAAAAAATCCAAGAAACACAAATGTGTTGTTGCATAAAATATATTTTGTGGTGTTAGCAAAAAAAAAATTCCCCACTAAGTACATCTAAAATTGATTATAAATATTTTAGTTGATATCTTTAAAAGTTTTACTATAAATGACTTGATTATGAAAAAATTATACACCAATTTTATCTATAAATGAATAGACATGTCATGTTTGATTGGTTAAATATGATTCATAAAAGTGATGGGTGTGTTAGATAAGTCAAATGACATATATAACTAACTACTAATATAAATCATGTTTTATTTAAAAGTAATTTTTTATTCATCACGTTTATGGCTTTATTCATTCTAAGATGATGATAATTACTATTTAAATCAATTATAATAAAAAAAAAACAACCATGAAATTCATCTAACATATCATCTAAATATTAGATGGATGTAATTCATAGCTTGATAATCTACACACATCCTCCACATTTCATCTTCTTAAGTATTGATAACAATATAATTGGATATGGACTCCTGCTTTCTCATCACCCGTTCTCCATCAACTCAATAATCTACCTTTGATGCTCTTTCATCTCCAAATTACTCCTATAGGATGATCGATTTGGAATGCTAGCACCATGCATGACAAATAGCTGAAACTTAATGCGAAGGTGTGCCTTCTCGTAACAAAATAAAATTTTGAAGATTGGACTAGAAATTAAATTGAAAGAATGAAATGATCAAGGTTTAAAGATTCTATCGTGGTTAAATCAAAGATTGAATTGAATGATGTAATACAACTAAAATTCTTATTGCATCATTCAATTCAACCAATACTTTCATTCAATTCTAACCAATTTTTGGGTTGCCAAACATCTATAGAATGGGTTCAAAATTGAATCGTTCGAGCCTGTAGATCCGATTCAATTTTTAAAACCATGATAACAAATTTATCATCCCAAGCAGATCATGTCGATGTCATGCTTTCTTCTTGAGAATGATTTGAATCATGATAATCTTCAAGAGTTATATATTTACTTTCATATATATATATATATATATAATTACAACTAACCATTGGGCTATAATAAGTCCATGGGCTAGCAGAGCATTGGCAATTCATACTAAAAACATACATAAGCCGTATTAGCATTATTAAAGCCTAAAAAAGCCCATAATCGCATCAGCAATAAAGAACACACATACCATCCGAAATCTATATGAAACAGACAGCACAGACAGTTACTCCAGCAAAAGTCAAACTTGCAAGTACACAAATACCCGTACATTACACGAACCAAAAGTCCCCATCCGTCGACACATTTAATAACCCGTCCGACAATTTTCAAATATTTATAACCAGACCCCACCCACGCAAAAGAAACTGAACAGGTAATCAGCAAGCCTCTCATTTCCTGCTGCGTCTGCTGTGCTGCTCCTCCTGCTCCTGCTCTTTCTGCTTGGCTGAGCTGCGCTTCATGCCAGGAATGCACTTTCCTCTCACTCTTCCTTCTGCACTCTCCCTCTCTTCCTCTTCTCCAATGCCCACCTTGCCTCCCCTGCTCAAAAAAAAAAAAAAAAAAAAAAAAAAAAAACAAATTACTGTCATGGGTCTGCTACATGAATCTTTTTCGTCTTTATGTATTTTTAAAAGTCAAATTCTTATTTAAATCTAATAAAAAAAAGATAATTTCTAATATTTTCTAACCAAGTCTTTTTAGATCAATTCTATATTTCTTAACATAAGTCTAATCTAATACCTCAACTTTCCTAATCGGGTCACCGAAACAAATTATTAGGTGCGGACACCAGACATAGAGAATAATTCAGATTTATCTTTGTCTACAGTAAAAGCCCAGTCAAAACACAGTCAAAGCGCAGCTGCTACAATAACTACGCTTTTATCATAGACAGAAAAATTTGAATGTATCTCTCCGTCAAATATCCGAAACTAATAATTTCCCCATCGAAAGTCCTCCGTTTGATTTGATGTGACTAAACCAAATTACTGTCATACAATACTTCCATTAAATAAAAAATTTAGAACTTTATAGCTTTGTTCCAACTTATGGAAAATTACTAATATTGGATAATATACATATTTGTGGTTCTTCTTAGGTGTTAGGTTTGTAATCCACGTTTAGTAATTTCTTCAAAACATATTACAGCCAAAAAGCTTTATGAACATATCAGAGCTAAAAAAATTTTCAAATTACTTGAAATAATGCGCTATATGGTCAAATGGCCCAAAAAATTTTCTGCACCAGAACAGAGCTATGAGAGAGATAGATATGGTTCATGGCAGACTGATACTGATACTGACAGAATTAAAGGCGTCACCTTTCTTCCTTGTAGGAGTTGGATTTCTTCATGGCCGGTTCAGGCGACACTCGTCCGGTCTCGGCCATGGCCTCCACGATGCTGCCACTGAAATACTCCTTCTCCTCCAAGGGAATATTCCCCACCCGCCGTGGATTCACGGACATACACTGCAACTCCGCCGCCTCCCTTTCGAGGCTTTCTCCACTCTTCCTACCCTTAACAGTAGCCGGAGCGCCGGCGGAGGCGGCGGCTGCGCGGACTCCCTTGACTGCGACGGAGCCGCAGGAGATGAACTGAAGGACAGAGTTGCGTGTGAGGTGCACTGGATCGGAGCGGCAGGTTGATACGCGGTTTCCGGCGGCGGATTCAGGCGGTGGTTTGTCGGGAGAGGAGGAAGACGGCGGAGAGCACTGAGTGTAGGCGGTGTGGTCACTCGTGGTGCAGTCGCCGGATGCATCCTTCTCCATTTCTTCTTGTTCTACTTCTTCTTGTTCCTCCTCTTCGGCTTCCAAAGCTTGTCTGGTTTTGTACAACGCCTCCATAGTTTTCTTGTTGCTTAGCTGCAAATGTTGAAATCGTTCTACACAGAATTTCAAAAAGACGAATCAAGTAATTAACCATTCCAATAAAAAAACAAGGGGAAAAAAATGGATATTGAAGTCAAGATAGTGTGGTTGGAAGCACATAATTAACCTGAATTAGGAGTGCAGCCATGAATGATCTCAGAACCTTTGAGAATGTATTCAGCGCCATCAGCAGGATAAATGATATCGTTCTCCGACAGATCGTTCCACACGAAGCTATTTTTGTAACTCCTTCAATTTTTTCATTCAAAATTAAATATTTTCAAAACATTCCAAAGAAAATAACTGCAAAGGAAACGTTTTTTTTTTCTTCTGTGAAGACTGACTGAATCACCTCTTACTGGACCAAGAGAAAAGAGATGGCATTCCCCTGCCTCTGAGAACTGTGAGCCTCTGAATCACATCTTTTTAACCAACGAACAAAAAGCCAAAAACAAACGGATTAGTTACTTCTCCTGAATCCAATTAACTCGAAAAAGAGTAATCATTTCATTAAACTTGACAAAAAAGAAGGATTTTGATCAAAGATTGAAACTTTTTGGTATTGATTATTACAGGATTATTACCTTTGAGACGAAGGAACTGGTTGGGGAGATGGGAAATTTCCAAGAAGTGAGGGTGTTCAAGCTGCCCGTTTCTGCTAAGATAGTAAACGACCTGAGCTCTTATTGCGGCTGCGGTGAGGCTTTTTTCCTTGTCCTTCTGCGAAGCAAAGCGGGTTGTTTTGGATCTCTCGGGGCTCATCTCTCTGCTGATACTTCTTCTTCCTACTCCGCCATTAATCTCCATATCGAGCTCCGTTTCCACTTTAGGAATTTGTCGAACAAGAGGGAAGAAATCTAAGCGAGTAAGGGAAATTCACTGCTGGACTGGGACGAGCCGACGACGACAATGACCAATTATAAAGAACGTGAAAGGACAGGAATGTGTGCGCTGAGCATCTTAACTGATTGATAAAAATTTTAAGAACTATTCTTATTTGTGACCGTTTTTTTAAATTATTTTTAAAAATAAAATTTCAATAAAAATTTGAATTTTTTTACTAAAAAATTTATTTTAAAAATAATAATAAAAAAACCATCTCAAACTAAATCTAAGACATGGTGTAGGATGATTTTTTAAAAATTTTTTTGATAAAAAAATTGAAATTAAAAATTTTTATACTAAAATATTATTAGAAAAATAAGAAGTCTATCTCACTAAATCCCATCAAATTAATAATGAGTGCAAAGTTATAATTTATCTAAGGAGTTACTTGATTTAAAATACATGTGATCAAAAATATTGAAAATGCATATTGATGCATACTCCAAAAACTATCTTGATTGGGCACGAATCTCGAGGCAAAAGCTAGTTGGAAACTTCAAAAATTAATTTTGGGAGCCCCCGAACTCCGATTTCAGCAAGCTTATACTCAAAAAAAAAAATTCAAAATCTTTTAAAATGGCTTTTAAATTAGGAGACCATAACACAAATATTTTTTTTCAAATTTAAACAGAATAATTTAATTAATTTATTTTTTTATTCAACCAATGAATCAATACTGGGCGGCAGCTCTTTTAACTAATAAATATTCTATTATGAAAAAATCCATGTCATAAAAAAATTGCATCAATTAATTTAATCCTAATTTTAAAAATTTTAACATAAACATTTTATAAAAAAAATAATGACAAAAAATAATTCCAAATGAAGTCTTGATATTTATCATATTTTTATAAATTAATCAATTAAATTAAACATAAATTTTATAAATTTACATAAAAATGCCAGCACACCGACGTTTATTATAATTACGATTAATTCGCCAAACTTATCAAATAAATGCCAATTATTCTCTTTATTTTAAAAGAGTAAAATAATTATCATAATTAAATCTAAAATTTGATAGGATTGATGGGACGTGTTCACCATCTCGACCGTTGGATTTGGTGGGGGGCTGGCCCCGATCAGGCGATCACCTCACCCCTACAGATTTAGGAGTGTCCTTTTATGACTAATTTATGGCCTCAGAGTCACACCATTGTCTTGTTGCTTTTGGAAAGAGGTGGTAGGAAAGAACTGAGTGAAGAAGTTTTCAACAATTTAAAAAAGGAGAAAATTTCGATGGATTATGATTTTTATGTTATTTTAAATTTCCATCCCGGTGAAATAATTAATAAACTAATTTATTTATGTTTATATTAATTTTAAAATAAATACCAGGATTTTTAAATTGCTCTTATTAATGAATAATTATTAAGATTTTAATATTATCATCTGAAATTTTAAATTTAAATAATAATAATGATAATAGGATATGAAAAATTCACTTGATCAAATACGAATCTTAATATAATATTTGAAATGCATGAAATAATATTTTATGGATCACGGTAAAATAATTAATAAACTAATTTATTTATGTTCAATAATCAAGCATTCAAAGTATAATTTAAAATGCACGAAAATGTTTTGAAGGACCAAATGATTTTAGAATCCAATATATATGTTTATAGTTAAAACGATTATATCAACAAGACAAGTCTAATGAGCCTACAACAATAATAATAATAACAAGCCACCACGTGGGGTCAAACTTAAGATCACTCAATTATGATGTCATGAAGACTGTAAGATTATTAAAAGAGAAAAATCAATGATCAAATTAAGAGATTAATACAAACCCTATAACGTATCGCATGAGTATTTTGGCTAAGATAATTGAAATCCCACTCTAAAAATATATAATAATGCCACAATCTTCTCATAAAGATTAAAAAGATTGAACTTAACTATAGCTACCAACTATTGCTGCCATATTCAATCCTCAGATCATTGATGATAGTTCTTCCACCATCATTTGACAACTATAAACCAACTTTTATCGTTTAATCACAGTAACATAACAACATTATATCAATTGCTATCACTCGATCGTAACCATTGAATTGCAATATATAAACTACTATCTCTTGAATATCATCACCCAACCACTTTTGTTTGTCCACAATGCCTCAACTATTATTTATTGACTAGTTTCATATCATTATGAATGTCTAACCATATATCATTGCTTGAGTTTGTTGCTTGCCTTCGCCAAAAATCACTATGCATATCATCAACAATAAGATTAATGAATAATATTGATATTAATATCACTCACATCATTGACACTCGATACCAATGTTGACACGATATTATTAGCTTATAAGATTGATGTATATCGAACACCAACAATAACACATGCATCAATAATAATGTGTTGCAATTTGTGATTCCAAGCTTATAATTTTGATGAAAACAAACATTATTAGTTTTCTACTCTATTTATTCTAGTATTTATATTGCATATTTCTCTTGTTCTGCACTAATGTTTCAGGTACTTCGTGCACCGTGTAATAAAAAGACCGTCTCAAGACTAGGTAGAATAGGTTTGATGTTCTACAATAGTCTGTATTTTCATTTATTTATATTTATTGAGTAAAAAATAGTGTAAAATATGTATTCCATCTTAGCGACCATATACACACAAAGGGAGTTAAAATTAAAAAGTCAAATTTCTCTAAAGTTTGTATGGTATATGGACTGTTTATATATGGACTCATCCTCTATGGGTCTCTTCACCACACACTCATCTTGTACGGTTCTCTCACACATAACTCAATTCCAGATAACTGGATATAGAAGACTGATGAAGAATTTGTGAGTGAAATGCTAGCTAGATTGAACCCTGTGGTCATTGCAAAACTCAAGGAATTCCTGCCAAGCACAATGTCGACCCCACAATGTTTGGAAAGTAGAAAAAACATGATTACAATAGAGTATATAGAGAAAAATCTTAACGGTCTCATAGCAAAACAAACACTGAATGGGAGCATGCTCATTATCATCAACTATCATGACACACTTTTGCCTTACCTTTCACGAATCAATGCAACCTCATATGAGGCCCATTTTATGGAGGCATGTAATGGTCTTCATGCCCTTAAAATGGTTGAAATAAATACAAATGATATGGAAGTGTATGACAAAGCCACTGGAAGTGGTACTTGGAATGTTTTTAATGTAGGTGTGAAAATGCCTGGTCTGAATTCGAGCGACAAAGCTGATATAGCATAATGCTCCTAAGCTGTTCGACATAATGTTTTGTTGGGCCTATTTATAAGGGTTTACTAGAAGATGGACAACTTGTGAGAGCTCATTCCTTTGATTTGTTTCTCTCTAGATCTGATTTTTCTCCCAGGATCGTCCGGGACGATCAGTGCAGTGAAACAGCTGATTTTTTTGGAATGGGATTATCCAGGCCGATTTTGGATCGTCCTGGGACGATCAGATGAGACAAAAAAAATCCCGAGAGCAAAACCGAAATTATCGGCCTGAGGAATCGTCCTAGACGATTGGATTTTGTTCACATCGGCCAGGACGATGTGGCGATCGGCCGGGCCGATCAGGCTTATGTTATAAGGAAATCAGCTCGATTTGAGGAGAGAGAAAAAATATTTTTATAAAATCAAAATATCTGAGGAGAGAGAAAGAGAAGGAAAGCGAAGGAAAAGAATACTGTAAGACAAGTGGAGCCTGGTTGAACGTTGGTTGGAGATTGACTTGACCTGTACAGGATGGTGGGCCGACGGGCTTTCCTTTAAACCATTGATCATTGATATAACGATTGGGAGTCATAAGGAGTTTAATATGCCGACGGGCACAGAGTGACGACTCTTATTGAAACCAACGTATGAATATCTACAACAGCAATATGGATTATACAACAGCAAAATAGCCAGTTGATTGTACTTGTTCAGTATTATTGTATTGAAGTGCTTGTGTACCGTATTAACATATGGATTTACTGCTTTATTGATTTGATCGGATTTATGGATTTACTGTATCGTACGATTTTATCGATTTCATTGATTGATCGCTGAGCATTGATACTACTGAGCATAGATATCGATATGGATGGATATATATAGATATTGTATTGATTCATTGATGCTATGGACATGGATACTATAGATTCATTGATATTATTGCTTCTACACCATATTAACCTGCTGCATTTGATTCATCGCTAGTATAGATTGAACTTTATTATATTGCTTTTCTAATCGATTTCATTGACTAGATAATATTGATTTGATCGATTGATTTGATACGATTGATTTGACTGATCGATTGATTTTCTTCTGTGTACGGATTCTTCTGAGATTGACGTATTGATTTATTGAGTTTGATTTATCGATTCTTCTATCGCTGCATCGACTATTGATTTCATTGACTATTGATTTCTGTATAGCATAGACTCAGTGACCATTGACTGTTATAGATTTGATTGGCTGACATGCATATTGATAGCAGTACCATGCTTTGATTTCAGTTATAGGTATTAGGTGACCTGTTGGGCTTTGTAAAGCTCATTATATGTGGTTGATATTTTCAGGTCAGGGCAAGGGAGCAGGAGATTGAGGTTGATCAAAAATCTCCAGGTTTTTGTTCTTTTTGGTTATAGTGATTCTTTTGTACTCAGGACAGGATATATTTCAGTTCATAGTGTAGTTCCTGAGTAGTGTATATGATATTTTGAGATGAATCGACCTGTACATTGATGTTTTAAATACTATAGATTTTTGTTAGACTATTGATTGATGTTATAGCTAGCTCTGGTAATTGGTTTTGATGAATTGATTGAAATTCTTTCCAAGTTAGATCTTGGGGCGTCACACAACTGATAGCAGTAAAATGATTTCAAACAACTTCAACACAATGATCTGTAGAAATCAAGAATGAGGTTGTTTTGGTTGCCAAACTTCAGCTCAAGAACCTATTCAATCAGTATATAATGCAAAATGAAGGAAATCTATTTTCTAGCTATCCAAAGTCTTCTAAAGTTATGGTT